CCAGTTGTCCATTAAAGACTTTTTTGGTAAAAAGAAGTAACTTTGAAAGAGAAACATTGTTTTTTTTAAATTTTTAATGCTTTCCCGCATCTATCGTTTTCCCGCATTCATCGTTTTTATTTCCCACCCCCGCCGAAAACGATGCATCGAGGTTTCACTGTATGTTCACTCTTTACCAAAAAAATCAAGTTACTGTAATTTTCAAAATATAAAACTACAAGTGACATAAGCATACGGCTGGCACCATAATTCTAGTCATTTGTAATTTCCTTGTATTAGTCTGCATAAGGCTTTTCTCTACCTTCCATTACTTAAATTATGTAACCAGATATATATTAAATAGACACCAAAGTGTGTGCATAATTTTTAGAAAAACATGAACAAATGTTAATGACTTCCCAAGACACAGAACCAAGTTGACAGCAAAATTAAAGTGAAGACTATTCTTTGCTTAGACAGCCATATCCATTAGTGAATGAGAGGGTAGGGCAGTAGACTAGCACTGATCGAAAAGTAAAAACATGCGAGTCCAAGTTGTGTTAGTGGGGTGGTGTCTTTGGTTAAAAATATTGATGTTTTGAAAGGGTTTTAATTATTTATGCTGGCAATTTTTCTCTCATGGTTAAAAGTGGTTTAATAAACCACATTAAGAACATTTGTGCAAGCAGCTAGGCTTGATCTTTAATGATAAATATTTCAGTTAATGTCATCAAAACATAATTTACTTTCTCTAATGCCTGCAGTTATGGTCTACCGCAATTTTCGGCATATCTTACCTGCTGGATAACCTTCACCAAATCTTTGAGAGCACTGCGCCTAGACCGAGTGATGATAACAGCAGTGGCCAAATATCGTAAGATATGAGGACACATGGTCTGGATTGCATTCAGGTATCTACAAACCCAAAGACCATGTCTAACTCTAACAATGATTATCAGAATAGTTTGTGTTTGAACAAAAATTAAGAAGTTGTATGTCAATATCAGAACAAATATACAAGAATGTTAGTACACTGAATCATG